AAAGGGCAAAAACGCGCGCGAGATCCCAGCGGCGCGGTAATTGACACAGCCGGCGCTTTAACGCGCAATATGCCGCGCCTGTTTAATAGCGCAGTGCGTATGCAATAACTTTGAACTCGCTAATCATCAATCGAAGAAATAATTCACTTACGTCCTTTTTGGCCGTACGGCCGTTCAATTAACAACGCCAGTTGCCGTTGAATTACATACGTCAAAGCGGAAAATTGGAATTCGCGACTCTTGTCGAGCTCTTGGAAACTGATCGATGACTAATGCGTGCACGCGCGCAACACTCGATAAACAATAGAAAGCGCTCCAATCATTCGATTGACAATGTAAAGTCTAGAATTGTTTGATTGGAAGCTAACGAATTATCGCTCAATTAAACGGACATTTTGGAAATGACCACATACCATGGGATTCGCTGGCGTGAAAGAAAGGGAAGGAATGAAAGTCGAGCACTCTTAATTAAAAAAGTGGTCCTATCGAGTTAACAATCTAATTTTCTGAAGTGCACTTTATTTTACTCGCACGCTTAATGGACTACATATACTCGAAAACTTTGCGCGTATGAAGTTCTCTAATACATCTTCATTCATCAAACAGGCTGTACAGGGGCTTGTAAAACTTAAATTATTTTCCTCGCTTTCGCCGTAAATTGTTGTGTTTGTTGACGAATCAAAATTATTGTTAAAAATAGAATATTTTTCATTGGAAAACACCATCTGATTACTGGTTTCTTCAAATTGTTAGTATTTCATCGTGTTGCATCACATTTTCAAATCGATAATATTTCACTTAAAGACTTTTCACAGCGCTATTGGCGCAAATTAAAAAAAAATTAAAAAAATACTATCTCGGCACAGGCATGTTCGTTGGAATTGCTTGACAAGATTACGCCGTACACGCCGTCGGATTAAGCTCCGCACTGCTCAACAATCTATAAAAATTCTAAAAAAAGGAAATACGAATCTACAAAATGTATCAGGCGGAAAGAAAAAAAACTGCCAATCAATCACACAGCGGGACTCCCATCGAGCACGCGCACGCGTGCACACATCGAAATCTGGCGTAAACAATCAAAATGCCTTTTGGCTATTCGGCAGTAATCTCCATGCGGAGCGCGCATACAGAATCGCATGCTCGTATCCCCGCTATCGTTTTAACGACACGCAGCGGCCGGCTGCACTGGAAATTTATAAATCGCAAAAGCTCTCTCTCTCTCTCTTTGCCGCGTTTTCGCATTTACATGTGATTTCGGTATTTTCGTGTTTTCCCAGCCGAACGGGGGTGTCATCGTCAACGCAAAGCTCCGCTGTTCTTTCGATTCAATTTTTCGATGCGGGACACGCGGCGTAACAAGTGTATCCGAGCAGCGAGAACAAAGCGATTTAAATGACGTGGAAACAATCGACCGATCGAATCGACGCGCGCGCCGTAAGAACAGTTATAACGCCGCATGCGGCTGGATTTAGGAGCGACAATCTCGAAGGTCGCGCGACGACCAACCAGTGCTAAAAATAGCTCGCTACTTCGCATGCCAAAGAGACATCCTGACCATCCTCTCTCCTCCATACCGCATGAATAAACAGCGCTCGGAGCGTTCAATTCTAATCGCGCTCCCGCCGAATCGGCTGCGCGCGCAAGCTGTCCCGCTATTAAATCTCATGAAAAATTCCGAGATCGTAGCTCGCGACTTATAACAATAGAGAATTCCCAGCAGGCGGCCCGAACGCGCGGGATGGGAAAAAAAAAACATTTGCGGCGAAAAAGCGAGGATCGGCCAGAGGAAGGGGGGACCTTCGACGCTCGTCGCGATGCGCATATACGACCACTTCGGCCGTGTCGGCTGAATGTTCAATTGCTCGCGCGCGCGACACGGCTAATTTGCCATTGTTACCTCGGCTGTTCTTTCTTGCGTTTGATTGATGCGCTCCGCTGCAGCAGCGCGCGACCGCAGCTGCGCCGCCGGCTTGAAAGCCAATTGTCGAGCGCCGCGATTCGAATGCGACGTGTATTTTGTACGCGCTTGCGACAACTCGGTGATCTTGAAAAAATTGCCGCGTCTCGCGGAAGTCGCGGATCGGACGCGAGACACGCGCGTGGGAAACCTTAACGTTTGGTTTGCCGGTACGACCGATAATCAACGTCCGCCGCGCGCACAGCCCGCACTACCTCTCGCCCTCGCTTCCGATATTCCACCTGTTACCGAGACGAGGACGAACGCGAATCCCCCACCCCAATGGAGATGAATACCTCGCGATCAACAATTTTCCTAATTCATTTCTTCATCTCAAAACTCTACCTCCCCCGGGGGATGGATGGGGGGAGTCCATCTTCAGCTTGCAACATCGGACGGATCGCACTGAAGGAGCTCATGTAAGAAATACTTGCTCGTCGAGGAATTTCAGCGGCGAAAGCCGGAAAAATTAGGAGTTGCGCCGAGCAAAAGCTCGCCGTGATACAATTTCGGCCTGTCACGAACACTCGCTGCAAAAACGGGCTCACCGCGCGCCAGCTACTCGCGCGCTTTCGCTCTGTGCGCGCAGGTGCCCGCGTTTACAAGAAGCGCTTCAAAGGCGCCCAAAGGTGCGGCGACTCGACACTTTAGCGCTCTGGCACGCGAAGAGGAGGTTATTTTCGAAAATGCTGATTCGAGGCCCTTACCCGAGTTTGACGTCGAGATTCGGTTACTTACTCGAGGCTTTCAACAGCTCTCGTGTGAATTTTGGATTTTTAGTCCTACTTTTATTTCTATCAATTCAAAAGAATTAATGGTCGTATATTTATTTCGATTTTTTTGCATTTCGCTTTGTTTCTCGTTGCAACTAAAATAAATTAATACCAAAGAATGAACCACGGTAAAGTAAAAGGACGAGGAACAACTCAAGCAAAAAGGCACAACTCTTTAATCTGTCGTTTGACCTATATTCGAAAATTTGAACGCGACAGCCGGTACCTTCGAGCCAACCACAACAGTGCCAGAAGTTGAGCAACGAAGAAATACATTCAATAAAAATTCTCTGTTTAATGAGTTCATTTACGTATACCGCTATTCTAGAGTCTTTGACTACTCAAAAAAGTAAAGAAAAAGTAGCCAAGCAAAAATATGAAGTTTTGGATCTATACGGAAAATCAATCTGTTTTTTATTCCGTGCTGATGCATTCACAACGTTCTTCCGACATGGAACAATTCGCTATGAACTATTTTAAACTAAAGGCAAATATGATTCTCGTTCTTGTCAATAAATGCTGGATCAAATTGTAATGGTCGACTTTGCCGCTTTGAAAGCAACCACCTTTATACAGGCGCTCGTTTTACCTAAGTCGGCTGTGAAGTTAACGGAGGGGATTATTTAGCTTTGTATGTAAATTTGACGAGGAATTTTCGCGATTCGCCTCGCAGCGTTGCGGAATTTAAATTCAAGATTCGCGTCAGATGAATGCGCCAAAGCAAATTTTTTGTTTAAACGTATGCGCGCATGGTTTAAAAGGGTAAAGATCCGTCAAATTTTGAGCAAGTTTCGTCTAGACTGCTTCAAATGGAAGCGAAGGAACAAACGACTTTGATCCGAGCGTCGAGAGATTTGACGTTCCAAGACAGCAGAGCCGCCGTAAAAGAGCAACTTATGTTTCGGGTAATCCAGCGCATCGACCGTTTTTGAACGTAGCTGAACGTAGCGATCCATCGCTATATGCCAGGCGATGGATTTAGAACACACTTCAGCCGGGCGATAAAAAAGAAAAAAAAAAAAAAAACAAGTAGCCGAAGGGGAAGAAAAAGAGCGCGCTGCACGTAAGAAAGCAAGTCCTGCCCTTCGTGTGGCGCGCGAACGGCGGCGTAACGGATGGGAAAATATTTAAAAGCGCTCGAGCACGGAAAAAGACTCAACAAGTATACAGCGAGCACGTCTTCGTACGCTTCACGCGTATAACGTTGGTAACGCTCTCTCGAGCGCCACCACACGCTTGTGAAATGTTTGCATATTTTGAAAACACTCCCTTAACGCGCACACACCCGGCGAATAAAAATAAAAATATGCACTTCGCGTCACGCCGAGTAATCAACGAGAAATATCATCGCCGACATAGCGTACTTTTAATTAAAAAATAACATATTGCCGATGCGCATCGATCGTCATGCGGCAGAACAAACAACGAACTTTGCGGGCGAGTTATGATTGAAACTGAACACGCTGCCCATCGAACCGCCCGTAAATTTGGAGGGCTCGCAAACAATCGTTTAGCAGAAGCACGGCCCCTTGTAAATGCGAGCCATGAATATGTCGGCGCGCGCGGCTCAATCCCGCGCTGTAATAATTTAGACGTACACGTCGTGGAATCGAGCGAGCGCCGCGCGCCTCGTCGCGACCTTGTCGCCAGACTAAACATGCTAATGAGTACACGAGCCACTTCGACGTATCGACGCCCGAGCATTTAACTGCTAATGCTACAATACACAGATCGAGAGGGATGATCCTTTTAAGATTATGGTACGACGATCGGTAATTACCTGATCGCGTTGGTTCCCAAACTCCGTGATGCGATTACTCTGTATGATGATGACAGAATTCAATAGTTGACTCTCGATTGAATTTTAAATCTGTATAGACTCTGATTCGTCTGGCGAGAAGCTTTGGGCACTCTCGGACAGTCGTCAAAAGTGTCGACGGTGCGCTTTTGTCTTTCGGGCAGTCTATACGAATTACGTTGGTAAAAGTACTCCCCTCAACCACCAGTGGGGAGACAAATCGAATCGGCCCCAAAACAATGTTTTCCGGTCCCTCGGAATTTCATATCCATGCACGGCATTAAAACGGCCAAGGACTTAACAAAACAGTGTACAATGTCGCGTAAAAGAGATAAACGTATAAGGTATATATATGTTTTGCATTCACATAATGTCATTGATATGCTTTTGCAGGTAGAAAATCAAGAAGATATTACTGATTAATTAATTTTTGCCAAATTTTCTTTGATCCAGCGTTGTGCCGTTTGATCTACTCTTCAGTCATCGCGGTTTTCCACTGACCGACTTCCCCTGATCTCATGAATTTTCCACTAACTGCACTACCTCGACCAAGTTTCTCATTTCCAGATTGCACCTTTGCAGTATGCAGTTCATAGTTGACTGCTGAATTGCCCTTCACGTTGGAGAAGCTTAAATGACTTGCTAAAGGTTCTACTTGCTCATCGCTTAATGTATTTCCAAGAAAAATTGTAACTTTCTTTATTACTGATTGAAGATCCTACAGAAACGTGCGTATTTCAAGAAAATTGAAACAGACATGCATTGAAAGTACATTTAACAACTCTAACTGAATTATCAACAAGTATCCTGTTGTTGCGCAAGACTGATATAAATGTAATTGAAGAAGGAAGCGAACCCCGTTACTGACTTTTGTTTTCTAGAAATGATTCGCAATAATCTTCACATGGAATATTAAAATCTTCAGACATCAATTTTGCGAATTGATAGTAAGAAATGCATGTATCATTCACGTTTTTTGACACATATATCATTTTACATTTCCTCTTTCCCTCGCGCAACTGTCGAGATAAAAGTTGGAAAGGTAAGTGAGTTTTGATAAATCTGAGTCTAGGTTACTCGGCAATAGCTTCGATATATCGTAAGTCTGAATCTGGATTTTCCTTTATTGATTCTTTAACTGTCGTAATCATAAGTTCTGGTCATGTCGAAGACATCCATAAAGGGAATAAAAACGTTTTCTTAAATAAAATGAACTCTAGTACTCAATGTTTTATATCTTAGTGAGATCAGATTTAACCACACAAACTTATCCAATTTTTCTACTTGTCATAAAGTTTCACGAACGAACTCACTCGAGAGATGGAAATCATTGATTTATTATCTTCGCCTTTTTAAAATCCAAATCATTAACAATGTTCCAGATCATATCTTGCTTCCAAGTAGTGCCTTAAAAGCACGATGTGAAAATACTACTGAAGAAAAAAAGAAAATAGAAGTTATGTTTGGAATTTACTAGCTTTTGGAAAAGTACAAACCCAGATACCATCACCTTGAATTTAAAAGTTTTCTATATGATCAGTGATACGTTTGTACTTACTATTCACAACGCAATCTCTATAAATAATATTTCTATTTGACGCTGAGCTCTTTGATGATTTTTCATTTGATTCTGACTCCATGACTGGCTACGTCTGTTGGCTATGTGTCGAGTAGCCGTGCTGCCGCAATCTTAAATAATTATGGAGTATCTAGAGATAGAACTTGGCTAACTGGTGTATGTGTATGCGCGCTGATAATATACCGATATCGCATTGTTTGCAAATCAAAATCAACGGTAATAACAAGCGAGTACCTCGATAAGCCAAGAATGCGCACAACTCGATAGCAAGCAAACAAGTAGGGTTAGTTCTTTTCTGATCCAGTAAGCTTTAAGGATCGATTCAATGTCACGCTCTTCGTCGTGACGATCCGCCGTGCAAACGAAGCGACGGATGAGCTCCATGACGTTCTCGAAATAGCGGTCTCGCGGGATTCGCCAGCAAGTGGAGTGTCCGCAGTTAACTCGGCGTAGTCATCAGACATACGCAGAGAAATCAAAGCCTCGACGTCGCGTCGCCAGAAAACTCGCATTAGCGCGCGCGCTCATTACGCGGGAGAGGGCCGCGGAGTTGAAATTATTCGCGGTGCCGCGGCGAATATCCCCTCGGCGATGGAACTTCCTCAAGTCTCTTTTGAAGAGTAGGCAAAAAAGGCTAAAAGAAGTGTCGCGGCATAAACTGGTCTGGGCGCGTCGATTTTTGTGCTACGTTTCTGCCCCCCCCCCCCCTCTCCCGGGCCACTTCCCGAGGTAGAGCGGCAAGAGAGAGAGAGAGAGAGAGTTCGAAGGTAGTTTCGATTGACGATGCTAATGGGATAGTTGGATTCGAGTGAACTCGTTTCATTAAAAGTTGCGGAGCTCTCACGATTGGTCAGAGCATTGTGGAAATCCCTCACCCTCTCGTCCTATCCCTCGACGTCGAGTTTCCGATGTTGCGATATAATTGTAGATTCTTGCTTTTGAGCCACTCTACCTCGTTCGCTCTTATCGATGCCCGCATTGTTCAAGAGCGTTCGCGCGCGTGGCTTAGGCACTTATCCAGCGAGTTTCGTTTGTGGCGCTTTGGTGCGAATGTTATTAAAGTGTCAAGCTCGTGACGAGATACCGTGCTGTAGCGGGTTACTAGTGGCGCGCGTGATGGATGGCTCACTGCAGGAGGACGATAGCTTTCGGTTTCAACTTGGCGCGAAAAATGAACAGTAAATCTCATTGGAACGCGCTGTTGCCGTAAAAAAGACGTTCCTTTCGTTGGAATTTTACGCGATTCAACAGCGACAGCAGCAGCAGCAGCAGCAGCTCCGCAGAGAAAAAGCCGTTCTTTCCATGCCTCGAGCCGATTTTTTGCCGCCGCGCAGTTGCCTAAACAGTGTTTAGCGCAGAGACCGAGAGCGCAAAAGATGTTAATCCGGCCTTACACAGCGAAATTTATAGCGGGCCATGCATAAAGCCCGCGACGCAATACTGCGGCGCCGTCACAAAAGGACTGCTTGAACGAGCTTCGCGCTAAGCGCCGCGTACTTTGGCGCTTTTTTTCATTAAATAATTCGATCGCGCGCACGATGCCGAACGAAACTGTAATCCCCAATTAACTTAGCGATTCAAATCTCCTCGAGCTTGCCACGGTCTCTCTCTCTCTCTCTCTCTCTCTCGCCAGAGCTCTGCTGTAATTACTGTCGCTGCGCCCTTTAATATTTTAATGTACAACTTGCTCGCCCGAGAGCTTTACGGCGTCGATCATTTGCACTTCGATTTTCAAGAGTGCAGTTATGCAAATAATTACCAGTGAGGCTCGCGGGAATCGGATTTTGAGAAGCCTCGACGAGCTTGCGCCTCGCTTTCTACATCCATCGTCTAATGCAAAGCGACAGCCGTCGAGCGGTAAGCACGCAGCGTACGTGCCTAATTAATCTGGAAACCAAAAAAGCCCTCTAGCGCGAGCTTACGGCCTAATTCGGACTGGCTTGCCGATGTGCACGCCTGGAGCTGTAGCGCTTCGCGGCCGTTCTCCTCCATCACCGTGGGCTTTTACACAGCCGAGAGGAGAAAAAAGCCGAAGCAATTACGAAAACTTTACTCTCTCTTTCCGCGCGACGGCTACTGCCGCTAGCACGGCCAAGATTGATCGGCAACCAGCGTATACGCGCGCGCCAATTCAAAATGGAATTTCGCGCCGCGGTAAAAGCTCCGGGAGAGAGAGAGAAAGACAGAGCAAGTTTTCGCTTCGAAGTTGACGGCCGAGTGCAACGTTGCGTTGCAGCTAGATGAGAACCGTCTTTGCGTGCTTTGTTAGGCCGATGGATTTCGCTTGTTACTGCGATCCGCGCGAATCGATCATTTCGACGCGTCGTACATAAGTCGACTTCGGTCGAGGCGTCTTGTTTTTTATCTCTTTTATTTTGTTTTTACTTGGCAAGCCAGGCGCCGCGGCGGCGAATAGAAATTTCGCGCGAATCACAACAAGTCCAACTGAACGCGCGCGACGCCGCATCCCTTGGCGCAAACATTACCAAGCCACCTCGACAAAGTCCGCCGAAAGCCAGGCAAGAAATCGCAGCCCGACGCGCGCAAAAAAAGCAAACAATCCTGGCGCGCGCGGCTTCTCTCTCACTCGCGGTCACTCGAGTGTGCGAGCACGAAGCGTCGACTCAGCGGAATTGAAAACTAGCCGGCAGCGGATCGATCCTGCGAAAATGCCTCTCTCGTTTCTTGCACGATTAGCGCGCAGTAGCAGCAGCGGCGAATGCTTACGGGTCGGGGCATTCGCGCGGACGTGTGTATATACCCGCGCGAATTTTGTCCGCCTCGCTTGCTCTGCTATCCCAAGCTTCGTGGCGTGTACATCGCTACTGGGGCGTTGTCCGAGAGGCGTTGTTTTCCCTTCCTCTTCCCGTTGTTTGCGATTGTTCAGTGCGTTTGAACAGGTGTCTTGCGTGCGTGTTTGCGGCGTGCGGAAGGTGTGGCGAGCGCACCGAGCATTCGAACCAACATTCGAACGTGGTTGAGAAACAAAAGTGTGAGCATAGCAACGAACATTCATTTCGTTTAATGAAAAAACATTTCTATAGTTAGTCTGTCAATTGTATTCTTAATAAATAGACGTTGTGATATTAACCAATTGACTTATTACTAATAGGAGTAAATACTCGAATAAAGGCATCGACCGGCCGACCAATTGATTAATCGAGATGTCGAGCCAGAAGTCGACTCGCGACGAGCTAATTTTCCACCTTAGCGCGAGAACTTGAAAAATACAACGCGCAATTACCAGGACTACAATAGCTCAAGTGGCCTTTTCCGCAAGTTTGCCAACAAAATATATATATATCAGCGTAATTCCAGACGCAGTTACAGGTACAAAAGTACCAAAAGTACCCTGGCAGCGCCATCCGCCTACGAAAAAGAAAGGGGAGAAATAGCGTCTTAAACTTTTCTCCAGCAATTATTTACCCTGTCGCGCTGAAAAAAAGGACGAGGAGAAGGGATAAGAGAGCGGAATCCTCCCGCGGCTTCAGAAGAGAAGTCGAAGACGAATGGCAACTCACGCGCGCGCGAAACGCCTTAACCTTTTTATTTCATTTTTTCTTTTTCTTTTTTCAGAATTTTATACGGGCACGGGCTGATCTCGTTTGCAACTCGGAATTAACGGCGCATTGTGCGCGAAAATTAGATGACAGACTGTGCAGAGCGCGAAAGTTCGTCTGTCTCCGAGGCAAACCAGTTCGATTGCGGTTTTTCTCGCTCGCTGCGAATTTACGAGCGCGACGGCTGTTACTATTTACCGTTCGCTCGGCAATTGGATATCTAAGGAATGAATGGGCGAAATTATACCAAGTTCAATTGCTTTTTCGGCTACGCGAAAGTCAAAGAAACGAAATTGCGAGAAGGCAATTCGGAGCAAGTATTTGTGTTTCTTTTCAAATATTAAGATTATCAAGAAGAAACTCGTAAGGATACGTATTGCCAAACCAGTAATTTACCAGCGATTATTTAATTTGCATTGCAAATTACAAAAAAATAATCCATGTCAGCTGGATTTGACTACAAAAATTATTCCCCTCGTCGCAGAGTCAGCCAGAGCAGTAGCACATATACGACGCACTTAAAATGCATCGTTTCTTATCATCGTTTGCAGCTGCGAGGGCGGGAAAAAAATTCGAGAGTCGTATCATCCCTCTTCGAGAATTGACGAGATCGTTGCATAATGCACGAGCCAGCGGAATTGAAAAAAAAAAATGTGACCCCCGCACTCGTGTCCGATAATGTCCGTCCATAACTACGAGCGCTATATTGGGCGATTTTTTTTTTGTTCTGCCCTCTCGACTGTGCACATCCTATGTGAATATGATAATATGACGCGCTCCTCCCTCATGGTTACGTAAAACGTTCAGTTTTCCTTGGACGTTGCGGACGCGCGTGGAAAATCGCCTCGCGCTGCCTTCGCGGAACACAGATTTGTTTTTATGTAACAGATTGTCGGCAAAAATTTTCTCTCATAATATTTTCACGGTAGTCAATGTTGATTCAAGAAGCATGGAACTCTCGAATCCTAAATAATACAGGATTATTTTAGAACGTTGCTTTGCAATTTTCAGAAGCGAGAGATAATGTCGTTTCGAAGATTTATTCGCGAGTGAAATTTGAAAACACAGTGAGTTGGATCTTCACCACAAAAATTTGTTCCAGTAAAAAATTTAATTTAGCAATAGAGTGATTACACTTATGATTTTTAATGTGTGATTACCAGCACTTCGAAATTCAAATTTGTCTCTTCGTTGGAATTTAATATGATTGTTTTTTAAATTTCGATATTATTGTTACGACTATCGACAAACTAATAGAACTTCTCGTTGGACTTTTAAAATTGATCGAAATATTTTAACTCGTCAAAAGACTACTACTCTCCTGAAAATAGAATAGCTTTAGCCATTCGTTGATTCAACCATAAATTAACGCTGAAACAAATAACATAAATTGAATACATTGCAGTTGCAACAATATTTTCCAGTGGTTGTGGTCATGAATCGACTATTAGATAACCTTTCGTGTTCTGCTTGTGAATAAAAAGTAAGACCGTCAAAGTTT